ATTTTAAAAAAACTGTTAAAGTAGAAAAATCATTCAGGGACATTTCCTCATATAAGGCTTCCAAAAGATGTAATGCACATATTTTTAGTACAGAGTCTGTGCTGAAAGAGGTTCAGGAACTAAACTCATTTGAAACTAGTAAGAAGGGCCGGGGAGATGGCTCAGTGGAATAAGTGCTTCCCTGGCACACACAACGGTCTGAGTTCAATCCCTAGTCCTGCCAAAAAATAAAAATAAAAAAGAACCAGTAAGGAAAAACAGCAGTTGAATAGTGGAGTTCAAGTCCTGAGACATACTCCCCCATTTGGGCATTCATTCACATTCCGTCGGCCTCCACCTCCGCTCTTATTTGAGAGCATCAAGTATTTAATATTTTTCAGGTAAAAAGTATTAATGAGAATCAACAGATACAGGACTCCTTGTGCCAAACAGCTTGGAAGGCTCATTAAACTCATTTAAATGTGGAAGATGCCACCAAATTACAGGTCCAAAACTGGAGACTGTGGCCTTGGGACTCTGAAAGTGAATGTTAAACTGCAACCAGTGACTACAGGGGGAGTAACTCTCTTCTCTATATAAAGTGCATTGGCCAGTTTTCCTGTTGCAGAGACAAAATAGTCCACACCCAAAAGGAGGAAAGAGGTTTCTTTGGCTCATGGTTTCAGGTTTTGTCCACGGTTTTGCTGCTTTGAGGCAGGAACATTATGAGGGAAGGGAGTCAGGTGAAGCCGCTCCCTTCATGGTGCTGAGGAAGCAGAGCACAGGGAGGGAGCGCCAGCGAGAGGTGTGCTCTCCCAATGCCCAGCCACCACTCCCCAGCCGAGCTCCTCCTCCTAGCAGCCAGTGGTTATGGGCAGCAGTAGGTTACTCCACTGGTGAGTGCAGTTCCTCCATGACCCTGTCCTCTCTTCAGGGCTCTCTTCGTACAATTCAATCACCAAGATTAACATGCACAGAATGAAAAGAAAGGAATTACAGGTTCAAGAATATATCGTTTTGCTTCATAATTATAGCTTAAAATTTTAGTTATTCAACAAATGTTTATAAATTATATACAGAGCACTGTGCTATATTCTGAGTATCATTATGTGCAATAGTTGTCCACCCAAGATGTGTACTGTAGTAGGAGAGACAGACCTGAATCGAGTATCAAGATGAATGCAGAAGAGCAAGAAACAGGACTGCCCTTGGCTGCCAACGTGCTGAGCACATAAAGCCCAAGGGTGTGGCCGTCCTAGGGAGGATGGCGAGGCACCCAACTGGAAGGTGGGCTTGGCGAAGATCTCCCGTGGAAGGCCCTGTTCCCCTCGCTCCTCTGCTCCCTCCCCAAGACCCTCCCATTGCGCCTCTGTGATCTCCCTGAGTCCTTCCAGATGATGAAGAAAGCAAAGACGGCAAGTGGACCCCTTCAAGCGGGTTTGAAGTTCAAGCCTGCCCTAGATCTTGCACCCATTCTGATATACCAGAGAGCAGGGTGTGGCAGCATGTTTGAGACATTTTCGACAGCTGGATGAGACACTGAACCTGCACCTGAGCAATTCTGAATAGAGTGTATGGAGTGATGAGCCAAGAATCCAGGAAGGAGAGGCTGGAGGCATCACGGATGCCTGCAAAGGCTCCAGAAATATGGGTGGTGGCAAAGAGGCATTAGGGTATATGGGAATTTCACCATCAAGGTGAATAGATGATAGTGATGGTGATGGTGGAAACAGGAAGCTGTGTGTGTGTGTGTGTGTGTGTGTGTGTGTGTGTGTCTGTGTCTTGTGTCTGTGTCTGCCGATTATGTGGCCCTCTGGATTCCAGGAGGATATGGTGCAGACACCTAGCACCTTTTGTAGCCTCTGATGTTTCCTCAGCTTTATAAACATTTGGGTACCAATAGCCTAGGAATTGATCTATGGATCCAGTTTTTAATTTTAAAATGATGAGGGAAGTAGACATTTCACCAGTAGTGACAATGAAGTATATTATAAGGTTATGAGGTGAATTTCAGTCTGCTAGATCCTGGCTTCTTCTCTACTATGTCAGTGGCCTCAGATAAGACTTTAACCCTCTAAGAGTCTATTTTATCATGAGAATAAGAATAAGAACTTCAGAAAACTATTGTAAAGTTGCAGTAAGAATTTACAAATAAAGTGCTGAACCACATAAGTGAATTACTAGTACTCAGTACAAATACTGTGAAGAAAGAGAATATCATGGGGACTGGAGATATTGCTCATTGGCATAAGAGCCTGCCTGGCAAGTGCCACATCCTGAGTTCAATCCTTGGTACCGCAAAAAAAAAAAAAAAAAAAAAAATTATGATTCCTATTGGAGATACCTATCCTTGTGGAGGGGACAGTGGTTGAATGCTGCTCAGGTGGTCTGGGAACTAAAACAGGAGAATGTGCATGTAATTTGTATTGGAAGGAGGGCTGGAATGTGTGGGCCATCTGCATACAAAGGTGATTTCAGGAAAGGAAGAGAAAAGTGAGATGAGCACTGCCCAG